TGCCCCCGGAGGTGCGATTGGCCCCCTCACTCCTGGCCTTCCGTAGGGCTTTGAAGACCTGATTCTACCACTTGGCCTGGGGTGGGGAGGGAATACTTCAAGCGTGGGGATGGCTAGCCCCATAGAAGCCTGCTATCTTCAGCCCCGGATTCTTCATCTTCTTGGACTCTTCTTTTTTAGTAATGTTTTTAAATTAATGTTTTATGTATTTATATATATTTATGGTTTTAATTTTTTGTGTGAGTCGCCCCAGAGTTCCCCCATTGGGGGGAAATGGGCGGGGGAGAAAATAAATACATACATACAACAACTGATGACTCATGTTCCAGTCCCAGCCAAAATCTGGCAACTGTTGCTGGAGCAGTCACAGCATATACAGGCCTCCAACACTTAGTCCCTGCCCAACAAATAAGATGGGAGTTCAAGCAAATTTGCTGTTCTTCATGATCATTGTGAAATACACATCTTAAGACCTGAGGATTTTCCCACTAACTAATCTTGAATAGGATTTATAATTGGCCTAATGACAGGGGATTGCAAAATGGGCAAATTTCTTCTGTTGGAAAACAGCCCAGATTTGGATAAATCCATCTAAATTTAATAGAACTTATTAAGAGATCCTTTTCAGATTGTGGTGTAAGAATATAAGAGAAGCTCTACTTGCCCATCTTGTCTAGCATCAGTATAGCAGAGTGGCCAAAGGGTTACATTTAGAAAGCTCACAGCAGTAGCCCCATTGTATAGTTGTTCCATGCAAACAGGATTTAAGACATGCTACCTGTGAGTGAGGAGGTACTAAACTGCCCTCAGACCATCCTAACTATCTGCCAATAGCAAGACTGCTGGCAGCAAATTCCACATTTAACTGTGTTCGTGTTAATTTCTGTCTGTTCTGAATGTCTTGTGTTTAATTTCAATGGATGATGTAAAGTTCTAACACTGTCAGAGAGGAAGAAAAAAAAAGTCCATGTTATCTGTGCCTTGCATGATTTTATATATCTCTAACATGTCTCCTCTTACTCATGGTTCTGAACTAAAGAGCCCCAATTTTTGTAGCCTTTCCTTTCCCCTTTCCTTTTTTGGGTGGTGGTGGTGTTTTTTTTTTATTTTTTTGGTAAAAAAAGTTTTCCAGCTGGCATAGTGGTTAAAGCTAGAAACCAGGAGATGGTGAGTTCTAGTCCCACAGGCACAAAGCAAGCTGGGTGACCTTGGGCCTGTCACTCGCTCTCAGCCCTTGGAAGGAGGCAATGGAAAACCATTTCAGAAATCTTGCCAAGAAAGCTGCAGGGACTAGTCCAGACAGTCACCAGTAGTCAAAAATTGATTTGAAAGCACAAATTTCCTTAATATTCTTAAGGTGTAGTCACAAGAACTGTAGACAGTATTCTCACCATAGATTTGCACAGGGGCCTAATTCAATTGACAGTTTTATTTTCAATCCCCTTTCTAATTATTTCAAACATAGAATTTGCCTTTCTTACAGGAGCTCCACATTGCTTATATTTCCACTGTAATTACAAGATCGCTTATCTGAATCATTGCCAGCTTGGATCTCATTAATGTACAGGCAAAGCTTGGATTTTTGTGCCTTCATGCATCACTATGCTTTTGATTAGTGAAAAACTATGGCTATTGGAAGCAGTAATGTAATTACTGGAAAACAGTACTGTTGCCCAACCATGTTCAGGTACTCCAAAAGCTGAACTGTGCATTTCAGATTTTCAACATACTGCATATTTTTTTCCCCTATATTTGCCACAGCTATAGAGAAAGTGCACTAGAGATTGTTCCCTGGAGTGAGAAGAAACATAGAGAAGAAGATTGGTGTGAAGGGCCACTATGCAAGTAAGTATATGGATTTGAATACGTGCAGTGCATTCAGAAAGTATTCAGACCCCCTTCACTTTTTTCAC